GATGAGATTCAAAGAAGGGATTCAATATTCAATGTTGTTCATACCCATGTTTGGTATACGCAGAGATATACGATTATTATGATAATATATTTATATTTAAATGACTATTGTGTCCCTTAACTAATTTAATCTAAACATGGGTATAGATAAATGAAGGGTATAAATGTCATTTGAATGTGAAACCCCCAAACTCACATATGAAACCCCTCTCATGGGTTTCATAAAACCCATGAACAAAGGTTTCATGATTAAGCCATGACCGAGCTGAATTTCAAACCCTAGATTAAATTCATAGTTACCAAACATGGGTTTAAAGGGGTTTAGTACACAACCAATGTTCCAAAACCCCCTCAAACTCACATACCAAACAACCCCTTAGTGTAAAATTGACTTCCTGAGGACTTAAACATGTACTTCATTGAGTTACAAAGTTGTTCGACAAAGGTTCAAGTGACATACAAGACTATGCCCCTGCCTCAAGTAATTATGACTCTTCAGCTCAAAATATGTTTGTTGCTGCCAATAGGGATTTACTTACTAACTCTATTATAGGGGGTGCTTCGCAAAGGGGGTGCCAAGCCAACCTCCCTAAGGCCCCCTATGTCCCTAAGCCTTGGCACAACAAAATAAAACATAACCCCAACATATGTTTGTTATGGGTGGAGGCAAGGCATTCCAAAGTCCGAAACTCGAGATGTGGGACCAATAATCGATGGGACCCGTCATTGGTGGAAACTCTGTGCATGGCTGAGAGAGGCAACTCATGCATAGACACATTGGGCACGACTAATGGGTTGATTGAAACACCATGCATGGTTGAGAAAGACAGCTCATGTATGGGCATGTTGGACACAAGCGAGCAAGGCTAGCCGATAGGCTCAAATTGTGGGGTATTGTTAGCTTGGAAGACCAAGCTATGGCCTGGGCATGGCTTGGCACATAGGCAAGGGAAATCAAGTGTTGTGGACTCGCAATAAACGAATGTGGACAACATGTAAGGTCGCTCCAAACAATTAAGGCATTTGCACTGTAAATTGTGGCGATTCTAAACGGTTGCTAGCATGTGCATGACAGTGGGACAGTTTTGTGCAATTACTAGCATGTGCACACAACATGAAGAGTGATCATGGGCAGCTGTTGGCTGGGTTAACTAACAATTGTAACTGTCGCTGCCATAGTCAGCACATTGTGGGAGTGACAAAAGAATTCAGTCATGATCAACAGGTCTTGAGGGCGAATCTGATGAGTGTTTGCATTGCCTAGATGGTTGGGCTTGTAACTGTCACTTTGTATGCTATTTATAGGCATGGTAGGGTCTACAATGCAATCAAGAGAGTTTGGACACATTTTGTAAACAAAACTCTATCCAATTTCCTTTAAGTTTACTGAGAAGTAAAAAATTTTGTTATTTGGCATGTAATGCTTTGTGTCTATTGTGAGTTTGTGTGCTTGCCCATATTCTATTCCTTATGTGCTTTTGTGAACGATTATGTGCATTGGCAGAGATTGAGTGTGTGATCTTAGTACCATCACAGGACAAAAAATTCGAGTAAAATTCGACTCTTGTAACATCTAGTCTACTAGTCATTTTTTTTTCTATTAGTTGCAACAATGAATCAAATATAAGGTATGAAAAGGAGAGATGTAGGACAGACTCCTCTAACCTACCTGTGCCGGTTTACCTGGAAGAAAATAAATGAATGAGTATACAATTACCACTAACCAAATAATAGAGTTGTTATCAACAGGGCATTAATGGTAGTTGAAGAGCTGAACAGTAGTTGCAGAACAAAATCAGATTTTGTGGGAATCTCCATAAGTTTTCATGCTGTTTAAATTTAAAAGACAGTAGTTATCGAAGAGAAAATTAGGGTCGATTAACGTGTATTTTGAAAATCTGATAATAGTTGAGCAATTAGGGGCTATGAAGGAAGACCCCATATAAAGTAACATACTCATCGACAGAATGTGACTATAAAAGGGGGTATTAATGACAAAAGGTAAACACGATCAAACCCGACAAATACTTATAATTTGGACATCATTAAAAGTAGTTTTTAAGTTAATTTAGGATAATAGTTGGTATTATAATTAAGTTGTTTTCGTCATTAAGATTCATTATAATTAAAACTCTCACTCATCTATGAAAGATGATTTACTATATGGTAAAAAATATATTTATGGATCCAAATATCCAAAGCATTATCCATAGCTTAAATGTTCAGGTTCTATCCAAAACTTTTTGGACCCCCACATCTACGATTGTGCCCACGTCCACGTCCACGTCCACCTACCAATTTGTAAAAATAGCTTAATAATATAATTTATGTGTCTCTTCAGTAATATTATGTTTATTAAGTTAATGCTCTATTTGGTACGATGAAAAAATGGGAGGATAGAAAGTTGGATGGATAAATAAAACATCATGTTTGGTAAGGAATGATAGAAAAGTGGATGGATTAACTTTCCTTCCAACTCATCAAAATTAATCCCTCCAAAATCGAAAGAAAAATGGATGAAAAATTAATTATTTGTGTTGAGATTTATCTTATATGTCTATATATCTTATGTATACATTAATATTATATAAAAATACAATGGTAAAATATGTATATATATTTTAAAAAATAAAAATATAAAATAATATTAATAATAATAATAATTTTAAATTAAAAAAATATTTTTCCCATCTTAACTAAGAGTGACAATTTTCGACTCACACACGATAACACGACTCGAACTAGATACAAAAATAAGTAGGTCAACTCGCAACTCGACACGACAAAATTAATTAAATGAGTTAAGTTTTGTTTGATTATTATTCGACACAAACTCGTAATGACTCAACACGAATCTGACACGACACGACTTGATTCGATTGTCACCCTCAATCTTAGCCAACAAAAAAAAAATAGTCATTTTTATTTTTCGTCCATCTAACCAAACACAAAGGAAAGAAAGTGTATCTTTTCTACTTTTCATCTTTGAAAGATAGAAAATGTATCTTACTTACTTTCCATCTTTCTTATTTTTCATTTTTTCTACCAATCAGAACACAAGTGATACAACATAATCTTCAATATTAAATATTAACAAAACTTGATTATTTGATAATAAAAAATGCATCCCATCACTTGAAATAAGCAATTTGACCAAAAAAATCTTCGTCGACATGTCATTGTCGATTGCCCTTTTCCAAAGAATGGGGACAAAAATCGCACAGGAAACTCGCCCTTTTTCCCAAACACTACTTAACCAAATGCAAAACCGAGAGCGACAACATTTATATAAAGGGAAATACCCTGCCAACTGTCTCATTTGTTTTAAATTATCTTCGGAATTTTTAATTATTTTAATTTGTCCCTTAAACTATATAATTTATCCCTTCAGTCAACATTAATCGTTTAATGAAATAAATTCATAATTAATCTTAACAAACTCTATCTCATTTTACGATTAATCTTAACATAATTTTTTATATTTATTAGTTAATCTTAATGAAAAAGATTGGTTGAAATAAAATATATAATTTAAAGGTAAATTAAGACTATTGAAAATTAAAATATATATCTATATAATAAAGTAGAATAAAGTTTGAATCAAAAAGACAAAGAAATATCTAGATTGTTTTTGAAATAAAACATAAACACATCTAACGGACAACGTAATCCCAACATAAAAGACGGTTCAAATCATTTCAAAAATTTTGATTTAACGGTCTATAGTTAGTCTTGAATTTCTTTTTCCGTCTATGAAAAAATCTCTTATCGTAAGACTCTACACTCCTATCGCTGATACGTTTTTATCTTAAATTTGAAAAAGCACAATAACAACTCAAATTGAATTCATTTTAAATTAAATAATCTAAATGTTATATATGAAAAGTGTATTGTTTGTACATTGATTTAGGTTGATTTTGTTTAATTTTTAATTTTACGATAAAATTTTGTATAAAATTAAAAGTATTTCTACACACATAAAATACATAATATCTCTAAGTTTAGTATTTTTTTTTTAAAGTTTGACAGTTTAACATTTGACCTCAATAACCGCATACACATCGTTACTACAACACAAAAACCAGTACTCAAATGAACATTGTCACAATTTTTGGATGTGTAAGTTATTTAGTATATCGATTTTTTCAAAACATTTGATATAATATTTCATTAAAAACCATTAAATACTTACTATATAATTTTTCATCATTTTTATTACAAACTGATTTACACTTAGAGTACACTGTAAGTAGATCTTCTTATCACGCATCTTAGTACCGATGATTGATGTTTACTTCTTACTTCTTATCAATCAATGAAGTTAAAATTGTTTTTATAATTTATAAATAAAACCATCAAGTTATTATTTATACCAAAAAAAAATTACGACTGTATAAAAATTTATAGTTTTCAAAAAAAAAAAAAATCAAAGTCCAAGTTAATCAGCAATTAAAAAAAATTAAGTAACCAATATAAAAAAAATAAGATATCAATTGCACTAACAAAAAATGTTCAAAACCAATCTAATCACTATGTATTGAAATTATTCAAACATTTTATCTTTGTTTGTTAAAATTTTATAAGTAACATAGTACTTTCATGCACGGACAAATGACTAGTATATATATATGATTACATAAAATCATATTTAATCGGTGAAATCGTTCTATTTACTTTACCTTAATGCACCTCAACCTAATAAATATTAGTGTATTACGTCAGTATTATTAAGGGGTGTAATTATTTAATAACAAGAATATAGTGAGCGTAACGAAGGATAAAATAATAAATGGGTCCCACAGGTAAAATTATTGTATAACATAGATGAATATTTATTTAACTATGTGAAATTTATTTGTTTATTTGTTATTTTATATATTTTTTTACACTTTTTAAATATATAATGGTTAATATTTTTCATGTCTAATTATTGAGTTATTATTGGCTGCTGTTATATAAGCGATACACCCAATATTTACTCCAAACTACGGTTTTGGGTTGGGAGTATTGTTCGTTGCGTCGCAGTTCTTCTTCCTCCTCTCTTTGCGTGCTTGCGCGCTTAGCTACAGGCAGCAAATCCTATAGTAGATCACTGCTCAGCTCGATACCTACGGCAGTGTATTCCGTGGCCTTTGTTGGGAGCTCCAATTGTTCGACGAAATGCCTGAACAATGGTTCCACTCTTTAACTCCTTAAATCTCTTCACAGTCTCGCCACTCTTCGTTCGGAATCTGAATTTTCCACCCATTTCGTCTCTTGGTCTTGTCAGTGATCCCAAAAGAAGAAGGCTAGGACGGCAACAACAAGTGGTCTGTTTTAGCCTTGTAGTTGGCAGCTATTCAGGGTTTGCGGTGTTAAGAAGGGGAAGTTGGAATAGGACTTGGTGTTGTGGGTGTAAGGGATGGGAGAGTGACGGAGACGCTACATTGGAGGCCGAGATATTGGAATTCATGCAGAAATCGGAGAAGCCTGACGTGTTTCCGACCAAGAGAGAGTTGTTGGATGCTGGTAGGATGGATTTGGTGGAGGCCATTAAAAAGAAGGGTGGTTGGTGGTCATTGGGTTGGGAGTCAGATGATGAGGATGTGGTAGAGAAGAAACTTCAAGAAACTGAAATTATGGCAATGGACTATGATTTTCAGGACTTCCAACGGAGAGTTGATAGTTTTCGAGAGAGTAATTCCGAGGAGGAGGAGGAAGAAGGGTCTTCAGGGTATGCTTCTGCTTTTACAACAACTTCTCAATCCACTTCCTCCTCTGGTAGATCACTGTAAGGTTCCTGCTTTAAAATTTACTCTATCAATTCATCTCCTTTATGATACTCGTCAATTTTGTGGATAAACAAAAGAAATGTTAAAGTCATTTGATGATCAATTTGTTCTCTAGGAGTAACTTGAATTTTCACTAGATTTATGGAAATATAACTTTATGGGAGAAAAAATTGCGCAGAGAAATTGCAGCTGAGGAAGATACTGGGATTGAGGGTATATTGAGTAGACTGGAAAAGCAGAGAAATTTATCTTTTGGCATTGATTTGGGAAAAGGGTATGTTACTCATGCTTCCACTAAGGACGATGGAGCTGACAGGCATTTTGGAGCCTCAACCATTGCAGGTAACTTTGTTCTGCTGCATTTAACGTAAATTGGTTATCTCCCCCCCATACCAACCCCCTCTCTCACATACACAAAACAGATAAATAAATGGGTAGACGGTTCGTGGTATACCACGAACAAGAACACTGAAAGGATTATTATTTCCTATTTATTTTGTCATTTCCCCTTAGTGCTCACCTGAATGTTAATGTGCACCAATGCAGTGAACCTGTGCCAAAGACTTATATCTTGGAATTAGGCTTTGCAGATTTAAGTTTTAACTTTGCAACTAAATTAATTTTAACAACTGTATATTATTTTTCCAGATGGCTATTCCTTTAGCTGTACCTGAATATAAGTCTAAGTCCATAAGTGGAAGTTGGCTGAATTACTTCTAATGTCAGTAAATCACCATTGATATCATTTCAAAGGTCGATGGTTGATTTTTTATTTTTTTTATGCTTACAAGCTAAAACATGATGTGTGGTGCTTGTTAAATTGTAAAAGACAGGATGACTTTGGACAATGCGATAGATTCAAATCAATTATCCACAACCAAAGGCATAAACAATAATTCAGGCAGCAAGCTTAGCCACAATGGCTTGCACTCAGACCTTGATGGTTTAGAACTTTCAGTTAAGCCTGATATGTGGAGGACATGGAGTATTCAACGGGCCGGCTACTCAGATATGGATTTTGAAGGTATTACATTCTGAAGTTTCAAGTGTCCTTTAGGTTTCAACATCTGGACTGATGTTGGCTTATAATGTCCCTCACACTGCAGCTGCTGAAATTTCTTACAATGAACATGGAATGGAAGTGGAAATGGATGCTTCAAAAGAAGTAGTACTTGCAATAACTCAGGGTACTAGTGAAGCTGTATACCAAGAGAGAGAGATTAATCACAATCAGATACAAAACAGGCTTCAGGACCTGGAGCTTGAGCTTGCTTCTGCACTCTGCTTGTTGAGGTCCAAGGGCAAGCAATACATTTCAAAGGAGGTGGGCTATCTAATTCCTGTTGCTCTGCTAGAGTTGGTTAATTACTATTGTGAATTTTCATTGTGTCTTGAAGATGCACTATAAGTATTTACTGTGGTTTTTTTTGTTGCAACAAAATGTAATGTGTGAATATGTATCAGATACCTAATTTGTTGGGATTTATTTATTACGTGATCATTTCTTGTACAGATATATGATATACATATATGATGCAGTATCATATGTTTCATGTATGTTCTCTGATATGTATGTCTGTGTGTGTGTGTGCGCGTGGGTGTATTAATATATACAGTACATCAGAGTTAGACGAATAAAGGAAAATAGCCACTCCTTACTTTGGATTGAAATAAATTTTCTTGTCACCTGCTCCTTCCGATATATATCAAATATGATTCACTTCCCTTATATTTTCCCTAATACTT